GGAGAGAGAGAGAGAAAGCATCCTCCATGAGTGATGGTCATGCTGCAAGCCTTTCACCATTTCTCCCTCTTTTCGGGATTTTTGAGCATGCACACACACAACTGGCATGTTTTTTATTTTGTTTTTCAAATCTCTGGTCCAGCACTCAACTGTACAGTTGGCCATGTGGGGTCCAGCCACCTTAACCACCAGGCCACCAATTGGCCTCCTATTTTCTTTTTACATTGCCCCAATACCGCTTTCATCTTCACCTTTCTGCTGATATTGTTCTGGTCAAAGTTACTAATAACCTCTATCCTACCCATTGACTTAATGGGCAATTACTCTATCTTCTAGAGAACAGGCATGTAATGGGCACTCAATAAACATTCGTTGAATGAATGACTATAACCTCATCATGAGTACTGAATTCATGGTTGGAGTATTACAAAAACATGAAATTCAGTGTTTATACCAAGCTAATAAATGTTCGTGTACTGATCCACTTGCAAGATTTTGTGTATATTTTACCTGCCTATATAAGCTTTTTTGTTTCGTTTTAGGTTTTGGCCATAGGGTGTGTGTACTCATGCTGGAGAGGTTTATGCTGCAATCCCTTCTTCTCCAACTCCCCTGGGATTTGGGGCACACATGCTCAGTGTGATTTTCAATCTGCCGGGTCTGGGACTCAAGCCATAGTCAGCCATGTGGGATCCAGTGCCTTAATCGCCATGCCGCTTGCTAGCCCCTTATGTCAGCTTTTTACATGTAAATCCCTAGAGCTATGATTTCTGACCTTGCAAATTTTAAAGAGATTGTTTTCTCAATGGTTTAGCTTTTTTGAAAAGGTAAAGCCAATTTTATAATTGTATATAAATGAAAAAAATCCTAAATAAAATATTAATTACCTGAGGATAAATGTTTTCCTATGTCACAGCAGAGAAGGATTTATCCCAAGAATGCAATAATGGTTCAAGCCAGAAAACACTATTACTTTCCTCATTCATAGATGAAGAATAATACATGCTTATACAAATAAAGCAGCTGAAAATGCAACATCTATTATTATTAAAGATTTTTGCTATAGGGTTCATATACTCACTGGAGACACAGAGAGAGACAGAGGAAGTAAGAAATCCACAGAGAGACACAGAGAAAGTGAGAACTCACCCCCTAGGAGGTATGGCCATACTGCAATCCCTTCTCCATTCTCCTCTCAGGGTTTTGGGTATCCACGCACGCATGCTTGGTGTGAGTTTCAGGTTGCCAGGTCCAGGACTTGAACCACGGTTGGCCATGTGAGAGTCCTGCCACCTGCTGGCCCCAGGTATTATTATTTTTGAAATCCAAACTTTCTTTTACTATTATTTTATTTTAATTCAACCAGATAGGGAGGGAGAGAAAGAGAGAGAGAGAGATGGAAAGTGAGAAAGCAAGTTGCCAGGTCCAGGACTTGAACCATGGTCAGCCATGTGGGAGTCCAGCACCCTTAACCACCGTGCCACCTGCTGGCCAAAAAAACCCCCAAACTTTTAGAAAATCAGAAATAGAAAATAATTTTCTTATCTTGAAAAAAGTTTATCCAAGAAAGGCCCGAGGCAAATATCTTATTACTGAAGAAACTTTGGATATATTCTTTTTAAGGTTAGGAATATGACAAAAATGCTTGCCACCATTCTTGCTGATTAACTGAATCTTCTCTCTCTCTCTCTCTGTATGTGTGTATATGTATATATGATGTGTATAATATATAATGTATACGTATGTTATATACTTGTGTGTGTGTTATATGTCTATGTGTGGGTACATAACTTAGAAGATGTGGTAGACATCTTCTAAGATGGACTGCTCATGTTTTCCAATTTTTAGCTTTCTTTTTTAGTTTTTTACCCCCATAAGGCATGTGGGCTTATTGGAGATAGACAGAGATAGTGAGAAGTCACCCACTAGCGGGGATTGCTATGCCATATCCCTTCTCCTGCATTTTCTTCCTGAGGTTTTGGGTACATATACCTGCCTGGTGTGATTTTCAAGCTGCCAGGTCTGGGACTCAAACCTCAGTCAGCTACTTGAGAGTCCAGTGCCATAACTACCACACTATCTGCTGGTCCCCATGCTTTAGCCTTTTTTTTTTTTTTTTTTTGGATTTTTTCTCAAGGGACCCTTGGTTT